TACTAAGTGCAGCGTTAACTCGTGGGGACAGTTGCCGCAACTTATTTTCGAAATTCTGTCGTTTTGCTTCATTTCACTTAAAGGAGATTTACCTATAATAGTCCGGAGTGTATATACGACAATTTAAAGTACAACTTACCACCAAAGCGGACGTGGCGCGTCTTCCTGGGCGGAATTTTTACCCGTTCGTTCTTTCCTTCCATGCACACTCGCCATCTTGGAAAGGCGTGTTTCACGCACATGTGTCATGCCACCTGCAAATCACGAGGAAAATTTGCATTCGATAATCAAGTTAACATATAAGATTAATGACAGGCCAATAGGAAATCACCACACATGCAGGCCAGAAAAATACGATGTCTTAATTATGACTTTAATCTTACGATTTCGAAATTCTCAATTTTTCTATCTTCGAGGAAAACACACGTTAGTAACTTTATATACTAGCTAGTAATTTTCCTATATAAATGATTTTTTTACCCATTTATCTTCTGATTGCGATAAGAACATTTTGTAGCTAGTAGTAGGTGACAAATTACAAACATTTGTAACCTACTACTGTTATTGCGACAATTGCCTCTAGGGATTCCAATACGTCAAAAATAACAGTAAATTTCACGCGACATGCGTGTAGATATGAAACATTTCATTTGTGTACTTCGGTCTTTGAGTGTTTATTTCTCTTTATCGACGATTGTTAAACTGAAAATCCAATTCTTCCCATATCATAGTATCAACGATAAGATCACAAAGTTAAAAAATATAGCCGAATATAACCGAAACGTCCGCAATTTGTGACTAAAAGGACGCTTATGGCGAAGCTTTTCAAACGTTATTCAATGGAATGGTTATTTGATCGGTTTCAGATGAGCATTGATTTAATTATAAGGAGGACCAATCAAAACAACGTATTTCGTCTTATAAGGAGGCTCAAAAATATGCATACATTAAGTCCAGGTGCCGCATTACTCGCATTACGTCATGCGATATACTAGTAGTTACGCAATCCTCCAGGCGAACTGTGTACATATGCCTGGGTTAAATATAGGCAGGAATGGGTGTAAACATTGGCGTTTAAAGTAAAAATAGCGCAAGCAATTACAGAACTAGTTGTTGCAATATTTTCTATATGATCCATTCTTCACGTCTAGTTGTTTTCTGGACGGTTAGAACTGATACTAAGAACAAAATCAAGGAAAATATGTTTAGTAACGAAAAATTAAACAAACATCAATAAAACGCATAAACGCACAAACTTTTCGTTCCAGTTTTGCCACAAACCCTTTCTAGAAGTGTAATAATTCATACCTGAGGTGTCCATCCAGAAGAATCTTTCCATCCCTGGCGAACGTGCACCCTTCTTTACACAGTTTACTCCCTCACGTTTTAGTTCATGGATGCTGTGATGCATCCACAGGCGCCATAATGCCAATTCTTCACACGTGTCGATGAGGGCCTCTAGCAGTTCGCGGAATTATTGCAGGTACTTGAGGAGATTTTTACGTGCAATAATTTCACCGACTGCTAGAAGTCGCTTTTGATACATGGTGCAGAGGGTTGTTAACCGATGTATACTTGATGCTGATTGGTTCTCATCATGTGTACGTGTTTGAGTCGTCGAGCCTGATTGGATAATATAGAGAGACAATTATGACGTCTGCCTCTTTGACCAAATTTGGACAACGGACTCAAAGCTATAAAGTCGCTTTACTTTTCATGTAAACAACTGAAGTTACGATGGATTTTCGGACGAACGGGACTATTTTAGGCAGTTATTTTCCCCCAGATAAGCTACTGAGCCATACGAACTGCCTCTACAAAGAAAAGGAGCCGATTTATGAGGCTAGGGGAGGTGAAAATGCTCGGCAACCACGTAATATTCTTACGAACAGGGGAGGGGGCATTGTGTGGGGATGGGTTTCAGCACCAAGGACAGGGATAGCTTCAGTTTGAACCTTCATGACTACAAATTCACTTCTGCCAAGACTGTGACCATTTTTGCAAGCGATCAGCTGATCGCAAAATCACATTTTTACGTGTAAGTTGAGAATGAAGGAAATTTGGGCAAAGGCAATAAGTAGGAATAGAAAGGAAACCATACGGAGTATACTCTGAAATCAAGGAGGCCGAAAAATGCCAAAAATTTCATTTTTCTAAAATTGAAAAAGCGTAAATTCATCCCCTATCACATCCCCGTTTTGAAGCACCCCTTCGGAAAAGGCCCGTAAGAAGCCTCGCTTATTCCTAGCCAGATTTGGCCATTTCGCGACTTGGGAAACGCGATGGGCTCTTATGGGGGTTTTACTCCAGGTCTTTCCAGCTCTTGTTCTTGGCATTGAGGCTTCTCCTGACTACTTAAATATCACAGATATATCAGGTAATAATCGTTTTAGTCAGGTATATGCTCATTTTGAGACGAGAACGGCTAGTACGAGCGTCTGAATATGGAGCTTTTTTTGGCAATATTTCTGCCATTTCTTTTCTTTGTTATCAACAATGGGCAACAGAAATATTTTTATTTCATTTATTTCAACATTTTATAACATTCTAGTAAATATTATACAAGTATTTACGTATAACAGGACAAAATCAAATCTAGAAAGTATTATTAACAAGCTTTTAATTTACTCTTAACTTACATCTCAAATCAGTACAGGAATGTTTACCGAAGGAAAACATATTGTTTTTGCTCTGTTTCTTCCTCTTCTTCTTCTCCAAACAGTGACCTCTGACCAGACCAATGACATGATTTGTTGACGTCTGTCACCATGGTGACGTGTTGGGTTACATAATGTTGCAATTTCATGGTCTGCTCCTGTCACCATATACTAAGTAGTACATGAATGTGAATGTGTTTGAGTAAGAATTAACAGAGCAGACCATGTCCAAAGGTAAACATCATGCATTTGCTTTGGAAATGTTACTTCTCTAGTTTAATAATAAGTATTAAGATACTTATGGCGTCAAATACAGTTCTAACTTATAACATGGTGAACATACATAAATCGACATAAGGTGGCTCAAAAAATAGATGGGGGGATTTAAGAGTAGTAGAATTGTTGCCGGAAAAGAAAATGGTAGGATATATGCTGAAATCGTGACTCTCACAAAAATGCAAAATGTAACAGACTCAAGGTCATATATTAGTCTTAATGAGTTTAAATCTATTTTGCAGACGAGAATGCACAAAACATATTAAGAAAAATATTCTAAAAATTGATACTCTGTTGGCTAATGCTCTCTATATATTGCAACTTGAAGTTCTAGCATTTGAGGAAACCATGTTTGTACATTTTGTAGCCCCAGTCCAGTGGCTCCTAACAATTGCTCGGTTGATAATTTCTTATATAAATCCTATAAGGCCACACCAATTTAATTTCTTGGTTAACGGATTTTTCCAGAAAAATAATGGAGCGGGCGGGCGAAAAAAATAAAAAATAAAAACAGGCCTAGGCATCCTATTATGGCCCAAAATGGTACGATAGGAGCCATGAAGTCAACACACAAGGCTGGTTCAAAATTTAAACAATGAATTTTGAACTTTTAATGATACCATTGCATTGAAAGATGGAATAACTGTAACAAGTAGGATGAAAAGGACTGTTTTCAACTGTTCAGGGC